CCGCTCTTAACTGTCAGGAAGTTCTTCCTAACGTTTAGCTGAAAACTCTTTTGACTTCATTTCAACGGTTCTGGTCCGACCTTCTGAGGCAACAGAAAACAACTCCGCACCATCCTCTATATGGCAGCCCTTCAAGTACTGGAAGATGGTGATCGTATCACCTCTCAGTCATCTCCTCTCCAGGCTAAACATACCCAGCTCCTTCAACCTTTCCTCAAAGGACTTGGTCTCCAGACCCCAAACCATTTTCGTTGCCCTCCTCTGGATACATTCCAGCTTGTCTATATCCTTCTTAAACTGTGGTGCCCCAAACTAAACACAATACTCTAGGGGAGGTCTAACCAGAGCAGAGTAAAGCGATACCATCACTTCACGTGCACTGGACACTAGACTTCTGTTGATGCAGCCCAAAATCACATTTTCCTTTAATCCAAGGTCAGTCCATTGCACTAGGAATGTCATAAGGACAATGCATTGCATTTATTTCTTGATATCCTGCTTCTCTACCCAGATGGGACCCAAAGCAAGCATTGCGCTGCCCCACTCCATTCTCTCACAACAACTCTGCAAGGTAGGCCAGGCTGAGAGTTTGTGACGGGCCCAAGGTCACCCAGCAAACTTCCGTGGTTGAAGTGGGAGCTGAACCTGGGTCTCCCGGGACCCTAGTACAGCAGTACGCCACACTGAAAAGGGCACAATTTCAGCCATGTTAGAAATTCCACAACACCACAGATTGTCAGAGATCTAGCGATCCCCTGGCAACTGGCTGTAGGAACCCTACCCTGAAAGATTCTGATTTTCTGCTTGGAAAGGGCAGCCATTAACCAGCTTTAACAAAAAACAACCCCCCCCCCAAAAAAAAATGATTAACCTTGGTCTTGACGGTGGGGTTATGGAATCACGCACCAGCTTTTCCCCCTGCAAGATACTCACCTTGATTCAGCCAACTTTGTTTTAGCCTCTCCGGTTTGTGAAGGATCAGGAGATTTGGGAGTCCGTGCCTGAACTGGAAACATCAAGGCAGAAAAGAATGGTGTTAAAATAGAGTTCCCGGGTCCTGCCTGGCTGCTGGCGGGGGGGCTCCCAATCATTCCTGGACTTGTTCTGGTGTGCCCACCATGATGACATAACCCGGAAGTGACATCATTGTGTTTCTGGCATGAGGGGCGACACTCTAGTTTTTGGGGCAAAACTCTATGGTTTTTTGGCCCTCAAAACCATAGAGTTCTGCCCAAAACCTAGAGTGTTACCCGAACGTCAGAAACACGATGACGTCGCTCTGGGGTGATGTCATTGTGCCGTTGGCGGCAGGAGCGGGCTTCTTGGGGTGGGGCTCCCCCCGCCGGCTAGCAGCTGACTGGGCCCCCCTGAAATCCGGGGATCCCCTGGCCCGGATTTCGGGCTTGACTTTTAAAACACTGATGCAAAATAGTCTGGTAGTTAGCAATCTGTATGTATTGAATGTTATTGCTTATTGAACGTAATGAATATTTATACCTGACTAGGATGAAATAATGATACACTATGCATTTTACTAAATGGGGACCATAAATAGAACACTTTAAGTTTGCTAAAAGGTTTTTGCAGTGTATATTTATTTGTTACTAGACCTACCAGGGGAAGGGCAACCCTATGTTAAAATGAGATGTTAACTTGTTCTCTGTTCATACAGCACTTCTGTGTTTTGTTTTTGAAGAAAAGCAGCACGCACCGGCATTGGAACACCAAACCTGAGAGTCCTCGGTTCGAGTCCCCTTTCGGCAATGAATTAACTGCTTCGTGTTTCGACGCCACACTGGCTGCATCCGTTCGTGGTTTGGCATTGCGCTGTTCTTACGGCTAGAGCAGGGGTCCCCCAACCTTTTGAGCCTGCGGCCACCTCTGGGATTCTGACACAGCATGGTGGGTGCCGCCACAAAACGGCTGCCTCGGGAGGTGGAGCCGGCCACAAGAGAAAAAATGGCCGCCGCAGCCTCCCTTCAGTAAAGCAGTGTACAGCAATGCTCCCTCCAAGCTGTAGTGTGGAGTCTTGTGGGCAAAAAATTCTACTTTGTGAGCCACTGGCATTAAAGTTGTGAGCGAGCGGTTTTGGCTACTGCATACATTAGTTTGCTCCGGAGCCCTCCCTTCCTGAGCTGAGGCAAAAACGCGTGAGCTGGAGGCTAAAGAACTGTAAGCTAGCTCACATAAGCTCAGCTTAGAGAGAACACTGCCTGTGGGGAAAGCAAACAATTGTCCAAGAGGAAACACACATCCCTTGGAAACACTGATCTTTCTTCCCAACAAGGTCCCTAAACAAGCAACACCAGCCAGCAGCGATCATTTTGGCCTTTTTAAAGAGCCTTACGGCTCCTTCTGTCCATCTGCCTGGTCAGCCGTCTCCTGGCCCTGCCCCCTTGCTGTCAGAGAGGGCCACCCCACAAAATGAACAAGACCCCCTTTGGTTGAGCAGCAGGTGTTGGAAAGACGATTGTACGTTGCTGCCGTGACCTTGCCAGATAAAACCTACTGGCGGATTCCACAGCACGACGTCTCTTCAATTATGAAAAGGCTGCCGGACGCGGATCGATCGGCTGCCCCGAGAAGGATCAGAGAAACAACTCACTCTCCGGCATCTCCTCTTCCGTGTCGCTGAAGTCATAGGGATCGTGCGATTCCCCTTCCGTGGCCGTCTGATCACCGGAGCGTGTCTTCCTTCTAAAGAAGGACAAAGAAGTTCATAGAAATACTGCTAGGCAAATATTTAGGTGCCTGTGCGTGTTTTTTTCCAACTGAACGCCGTCGAAAGAGTTGAACTTGTGCTACTTTACTGCTCATTTTAGAAGCAGCAGCAGCAGCGAGTGGACTTATACCCCACCCTTCACTACCCGAAGGAGTCTCAGAGCAGCTTACAAACTCCTTCCCCTCCCCCTCCCCACCACAGACACCCTGTGAGGTAAGTGGGGCTGAGAGAGCTCTGAGAGAACTGCCCTTGAGAGAACACCTCTCAGAGAACCTTGACTGAAGAACAAGAGACTGGATTTATGCCCCACCCTTCACTACCTGAAGGAGTCTCAGAGCGGTTTATAATCTCCTTCCCTTCCCCTCCCCAGAATAGACAGCCTGTGAAGTAGGCGGGGCTGAGAGAGCTCTTTCAAGAACTGCTCGTGAGAGAACTTATGACTGACCCAAGGTCACACCAGCAGCTGCATGTGGAGGAGTGAGGAATCAAACCCAGTTCTCCCAGATTAGAGTTTGTGCTCCTAACCACTACCCCAAACTGGCATAGGGAATTCGTTTCCAGCATATGACATATTTTATCCAAGCTTACAGGTAGATCTGACGAATGTTACACATCCAACCTCCTTGCAAAACGCCTTAATGAAACCACTTTGAAGGTGGCCGACTTCTGTGCTTTGGCTATGCAGAGGCGGGGCATGGCAAACCCTTCCAAAACATCTCTTGGCTTGAAAATCCCACATGGCCGCCGTAAGTCATCCGCGACTGGTCAGGACTTCCCATGACCACGACAGACAGACAGCACTAACTGTTATGACAACTGTTCTGACTAATTCTTCTAACTGGCACAAATGCCAGAAGCTCACAACGGTGGTCGCAAATACTCTTCTCGAGTCTCAGGGGAAGAACAAAGAACACCCGACGCACTCGGTGCACCAGCAGTGTTTCTGAATTATCGTGCCAGTCCGCACACAGGACGACGAGGCCTCACGTCATGGCCTGTCCCTCACCAGAGGAGGACAAATCGTCAGAAGAGGGAGACTCCACAAGGGAAGAAGAAGAGATTGGATTTATATCCCGCCCTTCACTACCCAAAGGTGTCTCAGAGCGGCTGACAAACTCCTTTTCCTTCCCCTCCCCACAACAGACACCCTGTGAGGTAAAGAAGAAGAGATTGGATTTATATCCCGCCCTTCACTACCCAAAGGTGTCTCAGAGCGGCTTACAAATTCCTTTCCCTTCCCCTCCCCACAACAGACGCCCTGTGAGGTAGAAGAAGAAGTGGAGGAGATTGGATTTATACCCCGCCCTTCACTACCCAAAGGTGTCTCAGACCGGCTGACAAACTCCTTTCCCTTCCCCTCCCCACAATAGACACCCTGTGAGGTAAAGAAGAAGAAGAAGAAGGGATTGGATTTATACCCCGCCCTTCACTACCCAAAGGTGTCTCAGAGCGGCTGACAAACTCCTTTCCCTTCCCCTCCCCACAACAGACTCTCTGTGAGGTAGGTGGGGCTGAGAGAGCTCTTGACAGAAACTGCTCTTCTTTCGAGGACAGCTCTTATCAGAACTACGGCTTGCCCAAGGTCATCCAGCCAGGTGCAAGTGGAGGAGTGGGGAATCAAACCCGGTTCTCCCACATTAGAGTCCGCGCACTTAACCACTACACCAAACTGGCTCTCAAGCTCCTTGCCACACCCAGGGTCTTCAGGAAAAGGCAATGGCCCCTGTCATGACCCTAGGCCTATAGCAGTGCGGCCTACAGGCTCTAGGGAGGCCTAGTGGCTCCAGGGAAGCCTGTACTAGAGTAGCTATCAGGGCCTACATTTCCCAGGTCACCCTTTGGACCCTGCGATTAGTGATTCGGAGGGAAGACCTACACCGGTAGAATAGTAGAGGGTGTTGCCTGGGAAGAAGAGATGGAAGGTAGGAGGGGATTGACTCCTAGGGAGCAGAGCTAGTGTGGAGCTGCTACACATGGAGGAATTCCCTCATCCAAAAGGGGGTGAGTCAGCTTGAGGCCAAAGACCTAGAGAAAGCCAGGCACAGTATAAAGGTAAAGGTTCCCTTGCTCGAAAGCCAGTCGAATCCGACTCTAGGGTTGCGGTGCTCATCTCCGTTTCAAAGCCGAAGAGCCAGCGCTGTCCGAAGACGTTTCCATGGTCATGTGGCCGGCACGACTAAACACCACCAAAGTGGTACCTATTTATCTACTTTCAATTTCTTGCTTTCGAACTGCTAGGTTGGCAGGAGCGGGAACTAGAGACGGGAGCTCACTCCGTCATGCGGCACACTCGGGTCTCGAACTGCTGAACGACCGACCTTCCACAGCCTGCAGTTCAGCGTCTTAACCACTTGAGCCACCGCAGCTCCTTTTAGGCACAGTATAGTCAGACGCATTAGGGTTTCTTATTTTGCTGGTTTACCTACCTTCACTGTGCTCATTTTCCCTACGTGTTATTGAATTACAGTCGTCGTTTAATAAAGATAGCTTGTTACTCTGCCTGGGTCCTCACGCCTCATTTGGTCACTTATATGGGGAAACCTACTGGAAAAGGAGTGTATAAAGGGGTCCGGTGGGTGCTCTAGGCCCACCCAAGGAAGAAGAGAAGAGATTGGATTTATACTCTGCCCTTCACTACCCAAAGGAGTCTCAGAATGGCTTACAAATTCCTTTCCCCTCCCCACCCCACGACAGACACCCTGTGAGGTGGGTGGGGCTGAGAGAGCTCTTGACAGAAACGGCTCTTTTTTCAAGGACAGCTCTTATCAGAACTATGGCTTGCCCAAGGTCATCTAGCCAGGTGCAAGTGGAGCAGTGGGGGAATCAAACCCGTTTCTCCCAGATTAGAGTCCGCACACTTAACCGCTATACCAAACTGGAGACCCAGACCAGAGGAGTGCCAGCCGTTAGAGAACCTTTCTAGCTGCTACCTGCGACCAGTATTCCCTCTAAGATGAGTCAGTGTGAGCTAGCTCACAGTTTTTTAGCCCCCCGCTCACACATTTCTATCTCGGCTCGGGAAGGGATGGCTCCAGAGCAAACTAACTGATGCAGTAGCCAAATCGTTGGCTCACGACTTTAATTCAGCACAAAGCAGATTTTTTGCTCACAAGACACCACACCTTAGAGGGAGTATTGAATGTGACAGGCCCCCACAGACTATCTCCATTGCGTTTAGTTCCTGTCCATGAACGAGAGGTTTCGATGGATTGGGATCCCCCAAGGTGGTCTCTTCTGCCCCCAGACCCTGTCAAAGTCTCCCCCAAGAGCAAAGGCAACTGACCGCCAGGTCTGAAACCTAGACCATGCCCGGGAATGCACGGCACAGCAGGCAGGGGTCTTCCCTCCTCTAGTGGCACCCTGGAGGAAGAATCCGGGACCTAACTCCCCCTACACAAAGGGGTGGGACTCCCGGGTTGAATTTCAGAGCCGGTTTGGTGTAGCAGTTAGGAGCATGGACTCTAATCTGGGAGAACCGGGTTTGATTCCCCGCTCCTTCACATGCAGCTGCTGGTGTGACCTTGGGTCAGGTACAAGTTATTTCTGAGCTGTTCTCTCCGGAGCACTTCTCAAAAGAGCTCTCCTCAGCCCCGCCTACCTCACAGAGAGTCTGTTGTGCGGAGGGGGAGGGGAAAGGAGACTGTAAGCCATTCTCAGACTCCTTTGGGTAGTGAAGGGCACGGTATAAATCCAATCTCTTCTCCTTCAGATAGAACGGGACACTTTGGTAAGCTCCAAGGTCGGCTGTCTCCGGCGACACTGCCCCGAGCCAGCCACCCAGCCGTAGAAGGAGATGCCTTGCAAAGAAAAGAAAGCTTGCTTATGTGCTAAAGATGCTAAAACGTGTGGTTCACCATCTCCGCCACCCTAGCAACAGGATTAATGCACAAACACAAACATCTGGGTTTGGCCTCTCACCACTTTGCCCACCTCTTTCTCTGCCTCTGTTCGGCTTCCTGTTCGGTTTCATCCTCCGTTTCTTG